CCCCCCCCCCCCCCCCCCCCCGTAATCATGTATTGATTGCTCCCATTTCTTAAGCTACATCATCTTCGAAAATATACCAGACATTCGAAACACTGCCCTTTCAAGTGCACACATTTTCAGCCAAAATTTGTCATTTCGTAAAAATAACGCAAGGTATGTAAACCTTATTTTCGTACGGTGAGTATAGTTTTTATAACTTGTTATGCAATTGTTCGTGTGCTGTCCTCATTCCTAAATCCTATTTACTGATTTTTCTCAAAATTGATGTTTCTTTGTCGTCTATCGCAATTACGAAGAAGCGATATATCTCTTGGTTTTCTTGTCATAACTTAAACCGGATGAACTGATTGCCGTGTTCATAAGTTGACCGTAATGTGTTCGAAGACGAGATAGTTTCAAACGACGACTGCTTGGACGTTTATTATATTAAGAATTAAATTTGACCAAATTCGTCCTCTTCTTACTCATGGAAGCAATTATTTAGATACGCAGCCGGCATAGCGAAAACATTCGTGAAATATTTTCGCTAAATGTTCACTTTTATACTGTACTATACTATGACAGCATAGCGAACAGTACGAACTATTTTTCTAAATATATATTTTCATATATATATATATATGTCTCATATGCAGTATGTTTTTCGATATGGTTGCAAACACTTGCATAAAATCAATAAATCTATATGGCGCTATAAAGTAAATATAGAGATATACAAACATATCGAAATGTCCGTTTTTCCGTTTTTTTTTTTTTTTTTTTGTTTCTTACTTCGATCCATTGCCGAGGATTTGCTAAGTTCTGCAGATGGGTTCACATCGCTTAGAAGTAAAGCTAGATAACTGCAAAACGCTTACATTGCATATAGAAAGTGGGAGCTTATTTTCTACCTGCCTGTTGAGATCACGATTACAATTGCAACACTGTGCCTTGAAAATCAAACTTAATTCAATATTTGTACCGTTCACTCTCCTCAAGCTAAATGAGAACGTCAGCTAATTCAGTTCAGTTCTTTATTT